CTATTTGTTTGCAGGCACTGGGTTGCCAGGGCTTTGTTAGCGGCCCTCAGGGAGATACTTGCAGGAAGATTAGATTTGCTTTTTCTGGAAGCCTGCCCTGGCAGCCTTCACTTGAAAACCTGGCCTACATCTGACAGCGATGTTCCCGAGTGGGGCCAGGCCTGGGAGGCCTGCAAGGTTGAATTTCAATTCAGGATGTTCCTCTATCCTGAACACTACTGACCTCCAGAAGGGTGAATCCCCTTCTCCGAGACTTCCCAACACATGCTTGCTCCCTCTCTGTGAACCCTTTGTACAATATCTCCTGGGTTATAGATTCATGGGCTTATGATTTATTGATTATATTTAATACATATCATTCTGTATTATGGGATTACTGTCAGCCTTTCACAGTTCATATTAATGTCAGGCAAGCCGGGTTCTGTCCACACTGCTCACCACTGCATCCATGGTGGGGGTCTCTGCTCCAATCAGAGCATCCAGGGTGGCCCTGCCCCTTAGAAATTTGGATACTGGATCATTTTCTGTGAAAACCTCCTGTTTGATATTTGAGACATTACACTCTGAAATTCAAGTCTAACCCTAGCCTATATGATATCCAGCAATCCGAATTATTACTTGTTAGTGATTGATGCTCAGTAAAGAGATACATGAATGAGTGGATGAATTCATGACTAAAAACAAAACCAAATGCAGATCTTTGGCTGAAAGGTACATACTGAAATGTTAGTAGGGATTTCAAGGTGGTTTGGTGGGAATGTTAGTGTATTTTCATTTTTCTATGTGATTTTCTTTCTTTTTTTTTTTAAGATCTATTTATTTATGCATACAAGAACTGGGGTACAGGCCAGAGGCGTAGGGAGTTAAAGGATTCACCAGACAATGGGGAGCAGATTAGGCAGATGCTCTGAAATATACTGCTAAAGAGAGCAACAGGGAAGGGAGACAGGAGAGGTCTGCTGTGTCATGAGAGTCAGCTCCCTGGCCAGGGATTGAACTTGTGCTATAGTGTCTGCAGACAGCTTCATAGCGCTGAGACTTAACCCTTTACAACACCTGGGAGGTCCTGATCTTCTATTTTTCAGGCTGTATATAAGTAGAAAGTGTTCGCACTTCTTACGCATGTGTATAGTTTTACCTACGTACACACACACTTAAGATTAGCACTCTCAGAGGTTAGGGCATTTGAGCATTCATGAAAAGATGATTAAAAGCAGCACTGAGGCCCATACAGCTTACCAGGACAGTGGAGGAGAAGGGAGCTATTTTGCTCATCATACCACTCCTTCATTTTGGGGATGTGATGATGCAGTGATGCACACAATTTCTCTTGTGGTCTTGGGGCCATGCACCAATGACCTTTATGTTCAGGGTGGCCCCTGGCCTGTGCATGAAGGGGCACCTTCAAAATGTGCTGCCTTAGTGGAGCAAGAAAGGAAAGAACAACTGTTTGCAAGGTGCTTACTGTGGGCTGGCACTGGGCATTGCAAGTGCTCATTGCAGTACTAAATGAGCCCTGTCCAATAATCATGTGTCTTAAAAATGATGACTCAGGCAGGGCCTTCCATGGTGGTGCAGCGGGTTGGAGTGCAGCCCTGAGAAGCTGGCCACAGCAGCTTCGGTACGTGTTCGATCCCCAACCTGGAGGTGACCACATGGCACAGTAGACCTCTCCTGTCTCGCCTGCTGCTCCCCTTAGCAGTGCATTTCATCGATCTGCCTGTTCTGCTCCCCACTCTGACTATGGTGAAGCCTCTCACCACCCTGCACCTCTGGCGTGTACCCCAGTTCTGTATGTATAAATAAATAAATCTTTAAAAAGAAATGACTCAGCCCACCTCCAAGAGGACTGAAAACTGCTTAGTAGTTGTAGAAAAGTCTTTACATTTCTAATGCTACATTTAATAAGAAGGTGATTTGAGGGAATCAACATACTCTATAAAGATATGCTGGAAAGACAAGCATTTTCTGGTACAATTTTAGGAATCCCACCCTCCCAGCTTCTACTTGTGAGTGTGGGGAGCCTCTTCTCTGTCACCTGTCAGCATTCACGGTGCCCAGTGTCCCACAGTGAGACTCGCTGTGGAACTGAGTGCAGAACATGTGTCCATTGTCACCATGTCAGCACTGATGTTGGTCCTTCTGAGATGTCCAGGATTAGCTTTCTAGGACATGTCACCTTGGCATGGAGATTATTTCCACTGAGGGCAATCGAGGCCCTGTGGGCTCAGATGACTCATACATGTCTGCCTTAACCAACTGGGAATGAAAATGGGGGTGTTGTGGTTTTTAGTAGGAATAACATTTCTATCAAAGAAATCTTTTTGGCAGGGCAATATCAGAGGGTATGAATCATGTCTTCTGAGTCACCTTTTCCTTGTCGTGTGGGTCCTGTTCTCTCTCCTTGAAGCCAGACCCTATCCCATTTCTTGGCTCAGGGAGAAACATTCCTTATCCCATTCCATGAAACAGGGAGGTTCCAGTTTCCCTCCCCACACCCAAGCAAAGGTAGAGCTGAATAGGGAGGAGGAGAAGCTGGAGAGGAGACTGGGGAAGGCAGGAGGGAAGCAGGATGGAGAGCCAGAGAGAGACCTGGAGGAGCCACCTGGAGAAGGGACATGTGTAGAAGCCACACTGGCCTCTCGGTCCTGGGCTGGGTGAAACAGTGTGTGTGAGAGACCCATGGGAGCTGAACAATGGTAGCTTGTACCTTGCTTTTGATTTTGCTCCTTCTGCCCCAGAAGGAGCTGAACCCTTTCTGTCCCTTTCCTATGGGTCCCCACCAGGAGGTGACATGGTGGCCTTGTGACAGACTTCTGGGCCTCAGTGGCCCTGCTTTGGGACAACCCTATTCGACTGGGTATTTACCCACGAGGGGATGGCTATCTTTGGGTGCTGGATTAGGAAACTATTCTTTCCCTTCTCTTCATTGCACACTAACTGTGTTACAGTTCCTTTGCTAGAAAGATCTTGTGTACGAGAGTATGTTTTGTCTTGCTGCAACAGATTGCAGAATGTATTTAGAGTGGGCAGGCTGGGGTTCCTGGGGTGTCCTTCACACTGTCTGATAACAAAGGGATGCTGTCATTTTGGCCCACTTACTCTAGGATCTATATCCATGGGACTCTCCATATATGTAACTAAATGTGTTCTTTTCTCCTACTGATTTTTTTTTATAAATATTTTTTTAAAAGATTTATTTATTCATATAGAACTGGGGTACAGGCCAGAGATGCGGAGGGTAAGAGTATTCACCAGGGACAGAGCGGGGAGCAGAACAGGCAGATCTATGAAGTACACTTCTGAGGGGAGCAGTGGGCGGGTCAGGAGAGGTCTGCCGCGCCATGTGGTCACCTTCAGGGCAGTCAGGAATCGAACTCATGCAGAAGTGGCTTAGGCTTCTTACTGCTGTGCTTTAACCTGCTGCGCCACCAGGGATGGCCCTCTCCTACTTATTTTTGATGTGAATTTGCTTGTTCAACCAGCTTGAGAGGAACCCAGAGGGTGGGGCATTTCCCCTCCACCACAGTAGAATCCATGTCCCATTATCACCAGGTTAGTGTGCAGGGAACACAGATTTTATCTGGAATGATACCAGGATAGCAAATCACAAAATGCAAAATCTGTTAACTTCAGACAGCTTAAATTCTCCATAAAGAAAAAAAAATAGGAATTAAAGGTTTGCCTTTGGAGTGGTGAGAAACAAGCAAGGAAAGGCAACATGTTATCTACGGCCCTGGGAAGGTGCCCAGTCTTAAAAGGAGAAAATTAGTTGGTTGAACTTTTGAAGAAGGAAAATGTGACTTTGAACAAAGGGAAGCTACAAAGTGAGAGCCCCTGTTAAGCTCAGGATGGAGTGAGGTGGAAAAAAGCAATTTGATGATTGCTATGGATAGAAAAGAAAGAGCTGCATTCTTTTAACTCTTTGCGTGGCAGCCTTCTGAATAGCCACTTTACGATTCTGATTAAACACACTGACTCTGAGCCAAAATTAGACTCTACCCGGTCTGAGTAGCACATAAATGATAATAGACCTATTTCCAAGTCGCACAGAACTGTCTTCTTTTTAACCACGGCATGGAATCTTTGAGCAAATTGTATACTAAGTGAGCTGGATTAATTAAAGGTGGAGGGAGGCAGAGTTTACGCACTGATTCCTCTGGAGGAATGCCCTGAAACACACAGTGACATTTCAATTATTTCTCTATTAGTATTCTCTGAATAAAGCCCCCCCCTTTTTTTTTGCCTTTGCTAGTAAGAACTGCTTAGTATGCATATTTAAATAACAGTCATACTGAATTAGTTTTACGAACTGGCTCTTAATATAATAGAGGCATTAAAATGTAGAGCAAAATGAGCAAGTCACAGAAAGACCTCCAAGCACAAGAAAAAAGCAGGAGGAATAGATAATGCAGTTTCTTTGCCATTTTCTAAGGCTTGGATTATGATAATGGCCTCGAGAGCAAATCACAGTCATTTAATGTCTAACTGCTCCAACTCTGTGAAAACCTATTTGGTGAGAAAGGTAGCACTGATCTTATTCCAATTCAAAGGTATAGATGTAGCTGCTTAAGATGCATGCTGCAAAGAAACCAGTTTAATTGCCAATCATTTTAAGGAGGAAGTTTTTATACCATTTCTAAAGGTCAATCTCATCTAAGCCAGTGAGGCCATAGTTTGCACCAAAGTCCTCCTCCCCACAATTAATGGACGGAAAAGTCTCTAATGAGTGAGGTGACATCTGAACTCCTTCCTTGTCATCCTATTTAACTACAAATAATTGACCTCAAGGACAAGGGGGACTGTGACAAGTGAACAAAGCAGTATTTACTGTGAGAAGAAAACTGGATTTTTTTTTCATTATAAAGACAAAGAACCATAAGGAAGAGATTAATGAGGATTTTACAAATACTCATCTAGAAACCAGCATGCATTTATGTAGTAGTATCTGGGGTGAAGACAGGGATGTCTCCATTCTGAGGTCCAGGAAAACCACTTACCACAAATTAACCAGGAATGGGTGCTCCAGGCCCTGCATGATCTGCAGTTCCTTGAAGACATTTCTCACTTCGTTGCGTTCCACGCACTTTTGTTTATTCATATACTTCATGGCGTACATTTTCTTGGTATCGTTCTTTTGTACAATGCACACCTAGTGGTACAAGCCAGAGTGAAGAGGTGACTAAGGAGATGATGGATCTGGGCAATGAGAAACTTGCTCTTGGAATGCTTTGCATTCTTTATTATTTGCACAGTCTCGGATATGCTAGTGGCCAGTTTTATTTCAGAGGGAAATTCATGTTTCCCTCATACCAGGTCAATTCTCGAAGTCCTTCTTTCTCAAACAAGTTTGCCTATTGGACAGCGTTTTGGAGAAAATAGCTGCCTCTGTGTCAGGAATCTCCCAGCAGTCACTGCTTTGGTGACTGAAATGGGTATGGCCAAATTGGTCAAGCTGAACAATACTGTGCAAAGAATTTCTGTTTGCAACTATAGGTGATATAAACAAAAATGACTGTAAGCCTTGGGAAAACACTAAACATAATGTCCATATTTTTGAGATTCTTTCATAGGTTCATATGTGATAAAACAGACATAAGATGATTTTACAATGCAATTTCAATGTGAAGTTGAAATATTCTTTTCAAATATATCTCCATCCAGAAACTAATAATAGGAATGTTCATCTAGAAGATTCTTCAAAATGATTAGACTTGCTATGTACATTTTTTATCTGAAAATTAAAAACATGGAACATCTGGGAAATAAACAGAAATCAGGTTACTTCTTTTTCATGTGAAAGGATTTCACTTTTAATGTCAACTCTTACTGAAGGTGCAGTTAGTACAGGCTGAAGTTGATCCTGGAATCTCATGCTTACCCTTAGAGAGAAAGTCTTAAACTCCAATGCAAGTAAATAGATTTGACTTGGAGATAAATCTGAGAACAGTGTATATTTATAAGTAGTTGCCTGGCACATAAATCCATTATAGGACCATCTCTGAATGACCAGTTCTGTGATCCCAATAACTAAATAATCTGAACATTTTGGAACTCTCTTTTCCAACCCAGCTGGTTGTTATTAATTTTGATGCTCACCTTTCCAAAACTGCCTTTTCCAATGGCCCGCAAGATTTCAAAGTGGTCAAAGTTGACTGTAAAGCAAACAAAAACAACATGGTGAGCGATTATCCCATATTCTTTAGTAGCTAAGAAGTAGTCAGACTTGGGCTACACCCACGTACCTTGTTGAAAACAACATTCCAGACTGCTGGCCCCTTTGTTCTAGGCCCATTCGCTCATCTTGTGAATAGCCCTTGAACATTGACATATTAATCATAGTGCCTAGGGCTGGCTCACAGTGATAACAGAGTAGAAACAGAATCTCTCTACCTATATGTTACCTAGTTGAGTGAGGGCTCCATGGGAGGGAATTACAGGATAAAGAGTCACAGCATAAATGAATAGTTAAGACTCCTAAATATCATGAAGGGAAGAAGTTGGAAGGCTGGAAGAGCATGGATGGCCCCTCAGTGACAGGTTGGGAGGGCCGTATCTCAGCACAGTCAGTGATGGACAGACCTGGCCCTCCACATACATGACATTACTGAGCACTGGCATTTTTTTTTTTAAAGATTTATTTATTTGTGCATACAGAACTGGGATATAGGCCAGAGGCTCAGGGGCGGCGAGAGACTTCACCAGAGACAGAATAGAGAGCAGAACAGGTTGATCTATGAAGTACACTGCTGAGGGGAGCAGCGGGAGGGCCAGGAGAGGTCTGCCACACCATGTGGTCACCTCCGGGGCAGGCGGGAATTGAACTCATGCAGAAGTGGTTCCAGCTTCTCAGTGCTGTGCTTTAACCCGCTGTGCCACCAGGGAAGGCCTGAACACTGGCATTTTAAATGCTTCTCCTTGTCTAACTTCTCACTAGCACATCCTTTTTCTTTTGTATCTCAAGGATTTCAATTTTCCCAATTAGGAAATGATCACACTCATGGGATTATAATATGAGCAGATCCCCAGGGCACAGATATCTGACTCAGCATGAGAATGTGTGTAGGAAGTTCAAGACAGGTGCTTGGAAGGTGACATGGTCATTCACATCAGTCATTTAAAATTTAAGCTCCTATAAGGGACCATGGTGGTGAGTCTCGGGTACTGTGGTGGTAGGAGAACTAAGGGGACTTCTGAGGGGAAAAATGAAATACTGTATAAAAATGAACAATGATATAAGAAAATAAATAAATGAATTTGACATTAACTCCACACCCCTGTATATCTCCCCACCTCCTCCCAACTTACCCTACCCCCCCTCCCAGCAGCCCCAGCCCCCAAATCAATTCCAGGGCCTCAGCAGCAGTGGTCTACAGGTGGCATAGCCTTTGGGTCAGCACTCAGGAAATGCTTGCTGAGATGAGTGGATAAAAAGAGATTCCCCCAGACTGGACAGCCTTGGGGATCTTGTCTTGAGCAGGTGTTCTGTTGTGTTTCCTGGATTTTGAAATACAGGTTTAGATAAGGCAAATCCCAGTTGAAGAATTGTAAGCTTTCTTCAGGAAAAAGGGTGAGATACTAGAAGTCACCACTCTTTAAAAGAACTATTTTACCTTTTTCAGAATAATTTGATTAGCTTCTTTTGAAGGAAAATAGATGCGTAAGGGGAATTCTTAAGGTCTTTTTAAGCTTTCTGTGGGTCAGAAATGTCTAGAATGTGACGTACTCATTGCTTTGTGACTGCTCACATCACGTCATTTCTAGCCCGAAACTTACTTGATCATGTGAGGCAGTGTATATTACAGACAGCCCTAGATTTAGTCTCAAAATAACGTGGCTTATGATAAATGACAGACTCTGAACCTTTTCCTCATCTATAAAAAATGAGACAGACCCTCCTAGATAAGGAAACATTTCTTAACAGAAAATGCTAACAAAACAATTTATTTAATATAGTCAAGTGACTGACTTATCTTCAAAATTCCTCAAGTTCTGAGCTTCTTTCATCCCCTAGATCATAAGCCCTAGAAAAGCAGTGATGAATATCATTGTGTTCACCTTGGTTTCCCTGGCAACTCAGAAAGTACCTTATCTTGAGGTCGATGAAAGCATAACTTCATATCTATAAACGCCTGCACAGTGATGTATGTGAGGTTGGTCCTTAGGACACCAAAATAAGCCAAAAAGTTTTACAAGACTCCCGAATAATCACTTCTCATGAATATGAACAGCGTGGACACTGGACCCTTCTAATAAAGTGTTTTAAACTGAGTCAAAGGTCACTAATGAAATATGGAACACATTTACAAATTTAGTAATGAGAGGCATATAAATTTTCAATGGGATGGAATACATTAGAAAAACCGGAAATGGGGTCTCCCTGGTAGTGCAAGGGGTTAAGTCTCAGCACTATGAAGCTAACCATAGCCATGCAGCAGTTCAATCCCTGGCCAGGAGGTGACCCCACATGTCATAGCAGATCTCCTGTCTTGCCCACTGCTCCCCTCAGCAATGTATTTCAGTAGATCTGTCTGTTCTGCTCCCGACCCTGTCTCTGATGAATCCTCTCACCCCACCCCACCCTGTCCCACAACTCTCCCCCAGCTCTCGTATGCATAAATAAAATAACTAATTTTTTAAAAAAGAAAATACCAGAAATGTCTCAAATGTAATTTAAGAGCAGAATTGCCTCTGAAGCTACTTTTGTTTCAGTTCTTTATATGTGTATACAAAGATAAGTACTAGATCATGATATAATATTTTGGGTATATTTCTTACTATTGGTTGTGATGAAAATAACCTGGAAAACACTTCTATAAGTTTTCTCTTGAATTTCAAAGTGTTATGACTTATGCAATGAATTCCTCACACTTATTACATGAGTCTGAGTTACACATTATGTCTGGGGAAGTGTTTAAAAATGCTTATTTGCAGGACTTATTTGCAATTTTGAGCAGATCAGGTAACTCATTGACTTCTCCACCAGAGGCCTAGCCTAGGATGTTGTGATGACATTTGAATCTCCAGACCTACAGCAGGTCCTAAAAAGCATAGTGCTTCATTATGCTATTAATCCATTTCATGAACCAAGTCTCTTTACAAATCATTTTGAGTTTTAATGAAAATGATAAAGGATTATCAGCCAGGTTGCTGATAAATTTCTACTAACTGAACAGGCTTAATTAAGGTCTGGTGAGGTCTCAGAAAAATGACAAGTCGAAAGTTTTAGAAAGAATGAATCTTATTTATGCCTTTATTTCTATTCATTTGAAGAAAGAACAGTCCCTAATCCAATATCATACTGTCTCAAGTAACTTTCATCTGTAATATAAAACCTGGGGAGAAAGCCAATGATACATCAAAGTGACAAGAAGGGAGAGCACTTATTCTATCCACTTCTTAAATATCCAACAACGGCATCACTAGTTAGGAGGAAGACAGCTTGGAAAGGCAGCCAAGTCTCATAAATTGAGACAAAATGATATTTGAAATCAGAATTGTGGGTTATTTTGTGAACAGTTCACTTATATTCCTTTTAAGACAGCCGTGCAAGTTGGGAGAGAAACTAAACTGACTTCCCAAAAAGCTATAGCTTTACTAATGAGTCCAAATATCCATGAAGCATCTGTGTGTCTAGGACTCTGCTAGTCACTATGGAAAAGCAAAAGGAGCTTGGGACTGAGAAAAAGCCTCAGGAAACTGAGAGTGACTTATATTCATAAGGGCATAATCTGGACACCAAACGGCCCTTGCCTGACTTTTATTTTAGTTAGTTTCATTGATTGTGTGTTTGGATTCCAATCTTCCATTTGTCTAGATTTAGGTAACTATAAATAAATACATTCAGAAATAAGTAGATAAATGAAAGTGACTGTGTTTGGGGTTGCACTGTCCTGTGACCTTCGAGGAGGGGAGAGAGATGTCCGTGGCATGGCTGTTGGCTTCGTGGTTTCCAATGAACACTGAGTACTTTGATGAAAGAAGCATGGGGCCCTCCCTGGTGGCGTGGCGGGTTAAAACACAGCACTTAAGAAGCTAAAGCCACTTGCGCATGAGTTCGATCCCCACCTGCCCCGGAGGTGACCACATGGCGTGGCAGACCTCTCCTGACCCGCCCGCTGCTCCCCTGTGCAGTGTACTTTGTCAGTCTGCCTGTTCTGTTCCCCACTCTGTCTCTGGTGAATCCTCTCGCCGCCCACACCTCTGGCCTGTACCCCAGTTCTGTATGCATAAATAAATAAATCTTTCAAAAAAAAAAAAAAGAAGCATGATTTGAGTCAGAGTTGTTGTGAGAACCTACTCCACCATGTACAAGATGAATGAAACTAGGAAATGTACCAGACCTTTCAGATCTTTGAGTTCTTGCTCACCATGAAGATTATTTTCTAATATAAGACTAATAGGCTTTCCATGTTAACAAAGCAGAAAAGCAGGAAGAAGAAAAACAAAATCGTCTAACGTCATCTTATCATTTTGACTACCTTTTTTCTGTAATGTTCTTTTAATCTTTTCATCGAAGTATACGTTATCCACAATTGAGCTGAAAGCTTTACCATAGTGCACTGCTATTGTGCATGATCCTTTAGTCTTACTCTTCAATCTCTCCCAGCCAAGAAGCAAGCTCTGCTACCTTTCAGCTTTGGCAGTTTTTAGCACATCTACTAAATCATATGATTTTGCTGTTTTGTTTTTTTTTCCCTCAGTGTTAGGTATTAATTATTGCATTTCCAAGAAGGTAGGTAGAAATTCCAAGATGGCACACACTGTCTGACCTTTCGGCTTTGTTCCAGCATGTTCCCAAATTTCCAATAAGCTGCATCGAATCTAATAATTTCAGTAAGAAACATTATTATGACTATTTAAATGGTACAAGTATCTGAGTCATGTGGTAAACTCTGGTTAGTTTTCCTTTCTTGTGCAACTTTTTGTTTCCCTGGAGTCAATAACCATGTGCTTGCTGACTTTCTATGTCCTTTTTCCTAATTCAATCTCAATCTTCTCTTTGGTTATCTACATTCCCTTTCAAAGAGTTCAAGTGCAAATCACATTGCCATCTCCCTGGAAACTTCTCTACCAGAGACTTCTGACTAAGCAGATGCTCTTTCTTCTTTTACCATTGTCAAATTGGGGCTCCCCTCACCCTCTGGTTCCTGGG